CGCTAACGAGGGTGGGCTCGGCGGCCCGTGCCCCCTCCGGTCCCGGCAGCCGCCTCCTCCCCCGGAGGGGGCAGTGACAGGCAGCGGCTCCTGCCCCATGTGACTGGGGAGCGGCTGCCCCGTCCATGGCTTGGCCTCCCCCGGGCAGCAGCAGCTCCGGCTCCCGGGGAGGAGGGGCGGGAGCTGCTGCTCCATGGGGAGGAAGGGCAGCCCCCGATCCCCCCAGGCGGAGGGGGGATCCCGGGCCGCTTCCCCCCCCTCCCCGCTCTGGGCCTTACCCGAGGAGCTGCTGCTCCTCATCTGCTCCTACCTGGACGCGCAGGCCTTGGGCCGCCTGGCCCAGGTCTGCCGCCGCCTGCGCTTCCTCAGCAGCCGCGATCTCCTCTGGAGGCGCATAGCCCGCGGCTGCCTCAACTCCGGCTTCACCCAGCTCGGCACCGACCTGTAAGCGCGGCCTTTCCGGCGGAAGGGCGGGGGGCAGCGGCCGCGGCGGCCGGGAAAGGCCGGGGATGCGGCGGCCCAGCCGGTTGCCAGGGCCACGCTGCGCTCCTGGCGTGGCCAGCGCTGGGCCGCGAGGGGCGGGGGACGCGGGGCCATTCCCGGAGCGCGGCTGCGCCGCCCTTTCCCTGCGCCAGGAGGGGCGGCCAGGGCACAGGAAGGGCCTCCCTGGGAGGGAGCGGCCCGTGGGGCACCCCCGGATGGCGCTGCTCACAGGGGTTGGGGAGGCGCCTCTTTTCTGCGCCAGCGGCGGGCGTGGGTGGCGGGGGCTTCCCTGGCCCCGCGGGAGTGCTGGAGAGTGMGGCCCTGTCCACAGCTGGAGCACTGTGTCCAGTTCTGGTCTCCTCAATGCAAGAAGGACAAGGAGCTACTGGAAAGGGTCCAGTGTAGGCCACGAAGAATGATGAGTGGTCTGGAGTATCTTCCCTATGGGGAGAGACCCTGGGAGCCGTGSCTGTTCAGTCTAGAGATGACTGAAACGGGTCTCATCAATGCATAYAAGTATCTCAAAGGCTGGTGCCAGCGGCAGGATGAGGAGCAATGGCCATAAACTAAAACACATGAAGTTTCACCTCAACATGAGGAAGAACTTGATGCTGATGGTGGCACTCTCCAGGGAGTGCGTGGAGTCTCCGTCTGGAGACATTCAAAATGCACCTGGACACATTCCTGTACAACCTACTCTTGGTCACCCTGCCTTGGTAGGGAGGTTGAAATAATTGATGTCCAGAAGTCTTTTCCAACCCTTACAATTCTCTGAATTTGTGATCCTCTCCCAGACCCCTTCAAATAAAACACTAAAGCTTGGGATCTTCAGGCTAGGAGAGGTTGGAGCACAATGGGATGGACAGAGTTGCTGTGTGCAGCTCAGGTGGCTCCCATATGCCCACACTTCCCACTTCTGAGCAGTGATCTTTTGCCATGGTCTTGAAAATATCTCAGTGAAGTAGCTGCAAGGGAGCAAKGCGTGGGATGGCATCCTGGGAAAAGGCTGGAGACTGGACTTTGTGCATTCCTAGGTGCAAGAGCTTTCATGGCCCCCCTAGGAATATGTGTCTTTGGTTCTCACAGCGCAGCTTAATATAATGGTATAAATGGTGATGGCTGGCACAGAGAAAGTGATTTAATGGACTTTTCATGGCTTTTGGGTTTTAAAAYTTTGTGAGTAGGAATTGTTTGGTTTTTTTTTTCCCTGAGGTATTTATTATTCCCCCAGTTTAACAGCACAAGGTATGTTAGGAATAGGGTCAAGCCCTCTAGGCTTTGCAGTGTGTGTGACACCAGCATCTTTCTAGATGAAGTGCCTTTTGGGCTTGGGCCTYGGCAGTGGTTGGTAAGGGTCCAGAGGTTGCTTTTTGTCTCTCAAATTTGCCTGCGCACCAAATGCCACTTGGAGGCAACCACACAAAGTGGGCTTTTCTTCCTTCTTTAAGAATCACATAAGCAAGTTTGTGTTGTTACGGTCTATGAATCCCCTCCTATGAGTTCTCTGTAGCTGCCAGCATGGATCTTGTTTGTCATTCAGTGACTCAGAATTGTTTCCATAAACATTGCGGTGACATAACTCAAAAGAAGGGATGTCAGATTTTGACCCCTATTTTGCTGTCTGATGTTGCTGTCTCATCAATACACAGACTTTAGAGAAGCAACTATGGCTTCTGCTGGCAGGAGCAGAAGTTTCGTGGTGCTGAAAATCCTTGTGTTTGGTTTTCAGGCCAGCATTTCAACTCACTTGGTGTTCATAGGTTGGAGGTTAAACACAGTTCCCTCGGAAGTCAGCAGGAATAACCATTGCAGAATGGCTGTGCATTGGACTCTTTGTCTACTGTGATATATGATTTTGTCTCCTAAGGAAATGAAGTTCTGTATTTTTCATTAAGAATAAGTTGATACTCTGCTCCTTCAGTTGCAGGAGGGATCAGGTGCATGTCAGAGCAGGTGCAGTGTGTGTAAGGACCACCACTTCCCCCTGTGGAGGAATGCAGGTCTATAAACAGCTACAGAAGAGATTTGCTAGGTCAGAGGGTTTCAGAGAAGGGAAGGCCGCTTGAGTATCATAAACTCCCAGGGACTTCAGTGCTGTTAGATTTGCTGTGAACAGGGTTTTTTTTTCAGTAATTCTAGCATGTACTTTTGTGCTGTGTCCTRTTTCCAAGTTTTCCTTAAACAACTCTAGCACTGAGAGCTGCTTTTAGCATTGGTCAGCACTGCCCCAGTCCCGGGTGACACCCCAGGTTACATTACAAGTGATTTTGAAGAAACTTTGAGATACATCTGGAGGATGATTCATTTAATTACTTTTAATACCATACACCATAGAAGGCTCAGGCAGTCTCCAGTTCCTTGAAATAGCTTACCAAATCCTATGGAGAATACCTGAAAAGCAAACACTTGTTTTCGCTTTGCAGAGATCCAGCATCTTGGGGGCAGTTACAGAAGTTTTGCTGCAGTAGGGTAGTCAGTTCTGRCAACAGATAAAAGGCAAGGGCATACTGCAGTACCCGTACCAATGGAGTATCATTGAGGTCTGGATATCTGAACATCTCCAGAAGAATCAGTATTGGCTTCATGTGTTGAATTGTACAGCAGTAAAATTTGTACTTAGCTGAAGAAGTGTTTAATAGTCTCTGTGACAGCTTGAGAGTTTTAACTAGCCATGTCTCTTCTCTAGCCCTTGCTCCTTATGTATGTCTCAAAGATAAGAGCCATGTCCAAGATTGCTGTTGTAGCAATTGAGGGAGTAAGATTTACAGAGAGATACTGAATTTTATTTGACTAATCAGTACAAGTTGGGGAGGGATTTGAGGCAAGCTTCTGGGCACATCATCCTTGATAGCAATTTTAAGTAGGAACCTGGTAGATGGCTCATTGAAGGTTACATTTGAGCTGACTAGGTATTTAAATTAAAATATCACTGTGTAAATAGAATGCTGATGAAGATGATGGATAGCTGGGCCTTCTTGATAACTGTGCTTTCTTAGTGATATGGAATAACTYGAGTTTCTCAAGCTTGGCTTTCATTCAGGAGCTGAAGCTTCTGTTGCACATTCTGGCTAATGTTGCATGAAGTGAACACTAGTTTTTACTTTTGAGAGGTTTTTGTGCAATRCTGTGTGCAACTGAGAAAGCAAAGGCTGGAACCGTTTATGGTTAATGTACTTAATGAAATAACGTGCATGGTACTAACATTAGATCTTAAACTGATGGTCCCTGGGAGGCTGGCATAAGTTAAAAACTAGTCAAGGGAGTATTTACAGTTTAAAACAAAAATCCATCTCAGAATAGTTTGATCATTTCTGCTGTTAAGTGGCTTTTGATAAGCCATCTGTTAATGCTTTGTAAATAGCAGTAAGTTAGAGCCTAGAGGAGATAGCTGTGCAACTTAACCCCCGGCCCCCACTTCCCAGTTTTTAAAAAGGTGATTAACTTGAAAATGACACCATTCCTTTAAAATGTTGTTTCTGTTGGGTGTATCTTCAGATAATTGCAACAATAAGCRTGAGAGGGAAAAAGCTTTATCTTGTATGTGAAAAAACTGTTTGCATAGTCAGCTTGCCTATAAGACTTCCTTATGCCAAAATAGGGAAGAGAGAAGATTGATAAAAAACTGGTTGCAAACCCCTAGCTGTTAACAGCATGAAAAAGAAAAATAGTAGTATATGTGAAAAAAATTGATTTTATCAAATTTTAAAATTGTCAACCTGGCTACATACCTTTAAAAATTGCCAGCTGTGGTTATCTCTGGACACATGCTTGGGCTTAAATGATGTTAAATTAAGTTGCTAATGATGTCAAAGGGAGATGTGGCCTTAAGTCGAGACACTAGCTGTTATGCTGAAAGGCATATTCACAACATTGACAATCTCTYATATTTGCCCTTTCTGGTAGATTCAGCTAATTGGGAGCCACAGATGGAAGCYGAGTATTTAAGGTGCTGATTCAATCATACACTTGCCTGGGAAGAAAGAAGTTTGCTTTGAGGGATGTATCTGTACACTTCATTCCTTCCGCAGGGGGAAACCATTAGGTACACATCAGCCTGAGTTACTCACTGCATGTTAGAGACAGCAGGGGCTGACTTGGAATGATTCTTAAAGCCTTCTCAGTGTTAAAAATGTACTGTTTCTTCATTGAATGAGCAGTAACTACGTGTTCAATAAAATATTGTGTCACTATTGTKGAAGTACAGAGTGGTTTTAAATGAATGTACTTCTTGGCATCCAAACTGTGAGTCTYTCCAAATCAGGTTGTCACTTCTTCTGTATAGGCATGTTAATTTTATGTATAGACCTGTACTGCTACAAAACCTTGCCATGATGAGGGTAAAAAGAGATTCCCTTTGCTKAAGATTTTTGCTTTACTCAGTCATAGGAGCAGCTGAAATAAAAGTTGAGCCACATCTCCAACGTAAGGTGAAAACAGAGTTTTTTGTTTCAAAAGTGTGTGGCAGTGTATCACAGAAAAGGCTTAACTACACTTTCTGCAGCTAAACTGTAGCTGAGTAGATACAGAAAGCCTTTGGGGGTTTTGGTGATATAGTGATATTACAGTTGTGTCCGATAGCCTGGGTMTGTTTTGCCAGCTGTTGTACAGGCCCAGCAAGAGCAGTCTCTGCCCTGAYGAGCTTGCTGCCTAAATAGCCAGGGTAAACAAGTGCTGGGAGGGGAAGGAGAGGCAGGAGATGTCAACCAAGCTGCCCTCTGTGCTGCAGGTCAGTGTCAGAGCCAGGAATAGCAGAGGGTCTTTAAGCCTTTATCCAGGGCCTGCTTGCTGGACCACCATGGACTGGAGAAATTGGAGAGGCAAAGAGCTCATTGCAAGGCGGTTCTTTATTTAAAACATGGAAGAAAAGAATAAAGTTGCAGCTGGGCTAAACTTATTTCCTCTTTGTTACAAAGGAATTTTAGAGGGCAGGTTAAAAGTTGGAACCTAAATAGCTTGACAGT